AGCACTAGATGTGTTCATAAAAATAGTAGTGCCGCTGAGCACTTCATATTGAACTACATAATCTAGTGATAAACACGATATTTCGAAGCGAATATTAAGATTAACAAATTGTTTTTATTAATTTAGATGTTTTTTTTTACAAACTTCGAAACATGTAATAAATTTACAAATTTACAAAATTTAGTTGTTCATGAAAATAGTAGTGGCTGCTAAAATTACTGTCGATATGCATAGGTACTTCAGGTATTATATACTATATATTTAAGTTTTTGAGTAATTACTGTAGATCTATATATATAGCTGTTTTTCGTTTCTATTCGTTATTTATCTTGCGCTTGTTTTGGCGGTAAATGTCAAAACCATTTGATGCTGCTGATGATATAATAGCATCTAGGTATATATAGTAACATTTAAATAGATATAGCACTTGCAATTTTGAACACACACACACACACACAGATGTCTCTCCCGCTCAGGCCTCAAAAAAGGTCGTTAAATGAGGTGAAAGAATCTTTGGCGCTATTGATCTACCTCACACCGTTCTATGGCCATTCATGTGACTAAAATTTGTGCACTTGACTTATTGATTTGCCGTCAATTGTTACAAAATTTGATTATCAGCTTTTCGGCTGGAGCAAATTTTAATATTGTGGCTTCGCTTGGCAGATTGTGCTGCCACACAGCCCTTGCCACAGCACGCACCCAACACACTCACACACACAGGAGGAAAGAGAAGCAGGAAAAACGCGCGAACACAAGAACATTAAATAAACAATTCGAAAATAAACGTAACAACGAAACAAATTGAAAATGTGAACCGCATGGAAGTCGAGAGTCGCAAAGCGTACATTGCCTCGCCTCGTATCTGTGCCCAAGTATCTGAGTATCTAAGTGTATCTGTATCTTTGCGTATCTCACTTGGCAACAAGTTGAATGGCACACAGGCCCATGCCAGGCCAGGCCATGCCATGCCATGCCATGCCGCAACCACACACCAAACAATCCCAGCCCATTGCAGCCCCACATCTAGGCAGCGTGCCCATGCCACGCCACTCCTGGCAACGTCCACAACAACGAGGCGGCAAGCATATATGTATAATTATATATTATATAAATATATATACATATATATATATTATATACCTGCAAACGGACTGAGAACTGACCGATCGACTGTTTGAGTTGTCGATAAATAGCGCAGACTCGTGTTCAGGTCGGCAAATGTGCTTTGATGTGCGTACGAGCATTTCAATAATGTGTGTTTAATTTACCATGTGCCAAGGCGGCAATGGCAATTTCGATCTATTTGAACTTGTATCATCATCTCGAATGAGTAAAACAGTTTAGAAGCTGCCGATAGCATTCCCATTTGCCCATTTGCCCAGGTGCAAGTGCTGCTTATCTTAATATCTACTCATTAACCAAATATGTAAGTGGAAGATATAAAGATAAAATATCTAATATATTCAATATATTACTAATATCTAGTACAATATGTCTGTAATCTATATAATATTTACCTTTTCGATGCTCGGACTTTAAAAGACAAAGAACCAGAAAAAGCTGAATTTGGTCTGTTGTTTTTCTTGATCGTAAAGTTAAAGCAATCAGTCACCTCAACAGTGTTAAGCTCTATATATATATATATATGTATATGAATGTCTGTACTTCGTGTAATCGTAATCATGATATGATATGTGCCATTGTAAATGTTCGAAATGGAAACGAAATGATATGTCATAAATTAATGTCGAGATTAAAGTTAATCTACATTTGTCAAGGATTTCCTTATCGCCAGTCCCTCAGACATGAGTCTCAGTTTGTCTTGCGATCATGGAATATAAATGTGAAATCTTAGACAAAATTAGAATAGAGCTGGGCACTAAAGTTGATGTGTCCAAGGATTCTACGGGTCAGTTTGTTCACATCAATTGCAAGCTATAGAGAACCTGTTTCATCGCTTAACGTGTTGCGCCCTAATCAGATAATTCATACAATTAATATTATTACCGATGCTGGTGCTTGGTCTTTTGACCTGTGGGTTTAATTCTCTTGACTGATAGCCGCCGCCAACGCCGCCGCCCCCTTTGACTCTGTGATTGATGTGAATTCCTTGATGATGCGCTCGACCGTTTGTTCGCGCTCTCGCAGTGGGCTTCCACGCTCGTTCGATTAAAACAATCAATTTAATTGTTATCACAAGTATATAGTGTCATAATATATACGGCACAGAACAGAACAAATAAGAACAAAATATCTACGTGTAGTAAATAAAGCTGGCAAGCGTTGCCTCCCGTTTGTTTATTTACCCATTGAATAACGAGTCGATTGACTTAAAGACATCAAGCGAGCGAGTTTCGATCATGCACATAAAGGCAAATCAAAGTATTTTTGTGATACTTTTTCATTTTTTTATATATTTTTTATATTTATATTTATATATTTCATAACAAAAACTGATAGCTAAGGCCATTTCTCCAGCTTTCAGGCAGCCTGTAGACGAAACATTCAAAGAGTTTTCTACTCTCTCCATTTCTCTCTCTCTATCTCTAACTTTAACTCTCTCTTTTTTCCTCTCTCTCTCCCTATATATCTCGTTCTTACTCTCTCAATTTTTTTTTACATTTGTCATTAATCAGCGCTGCTATTAATCGATTGTTATCGATTTAAATTGTTGTCAATAACAATTTTCAGCTCGGACTACATATCAATTGACAGTTATGTGCAGTATCACAAATAGTAGTGCGCATAGATAAGATAAATAGATCTACACATATGTATATATATATAAATATATATATATATATGTAAGTCAACCGTTTGACACAGTTCAGCTGTTTTCAGCACTATTTATTTGTTTTCTTTGTTGAGCCGGTTACGAGTAACACGGGAGTATTGTATATAAAAAGTTTGACGCAATTTTACAGTGACAATGGGACAATTATAGCCTAGAGTAACTGAGCGGGCTAAAAAGCTGTCGTTCGCTGGTAATTACACGTGTTTTAATTCACAAGCTGTCATTGTTGTTGTCGCTATTGTTGTTTAATTGTATCGCAATTTGATAAAGCACAAAGTAATCAACACGACAGCAATAAATGGAGGGGCGTTGATCGGTCACAAAAATCTTTCACAAAAAAAAAGCAAAAACAAAAAAAATTTTTTTTTTGTGCATTTCACATCGTAACACGACCTTTGAATCATGCACAAATTATTTGTGACAATTTCAGATATACTACAAGTCATAAACCATCCAAAGTATCATAAATATACCTATGACAGCGTAGACGTAATTTGGGCTAACTTGGATCTGAGCAAAGTTAATTTTATCTAGCCAAATGTTGCCATAAAATTGTCGAAACACATTCAAGGACTTGTGCTCGTCTATAAATAACTTAATGATACCCTATAATCCAATGAATGGCATTCATTCATGAAGGTGCTATAACTTCATCGATACATCGATATTAATATCCTTGAAATCGTTCAAAGTCTAATTATTTGACATGAATTTAGATGTCTATAGGCTAATTTATGATAGCCTATAATCCAATGAATTGTATCTATTCTTGAAGGTTCGATAACTTAAGCGATAACTTGTGTTAGTTTTCATTAAATCGAAATAGTCGTTTCAAACTATAGTTATTTGTCATGTTTATATACCACTTAATGATACCCTAGAATCCTATAAATGTCATACATACACCTAGGTTCGAGAAATTCAACGATAACTTGCATTAATTTCCATGAAATCGATAAAAGTCAATTCAAACTTCTGTTTACATTAGATATCTGTACACAAATAAATGAAACCCTACAATCCAATAAATGGTATGGTCCGATAACTTAATCGATAACTTTTGATAATATCGACTAAACCGACGAAAGTCGATATCAAATTCTAGTTATCAGCGCATATCTCATATGTTTTAGGATAAGGTGGCCCCTAGTCGTGCACTCTTAGTGTAGAGCCGCTCAGTATTCATTTGCCAGTTAGTAATTGTTAACCCTTAGCTCACAAATCACAAATACATACGTTACGTTAATTACAATTTCCATATATCTTTCACCTGTGCAGGCGTTAAGGTGCGACTAGGCATGTTACACTTTTCAGCTGCCAACGGTCAATGACTCGCGCACTGAGTTATGATTTATTCGCTAGCTCACACAGCCCGAGTACGCTAGGCAGACAGTGTGGAAATTGGCATGCCATGCCGGGCTGTCGAAATGACGAAAATTTGTGTAATTTACATTTATGAAGACAAAACTTGTGACTTTCTCTGGAAGAGTTTCCCGTCACAGCAATAAAGTATCGATGAGATCACTTAGTGTCTTGGTCGTCAATCAAATTATCTAGACGGTGGCCAGCGCATTACGTAGTCGGTTACACCCCACTGCGCTGTTCTGACTCGAATTTCGTTTCTTTGTTTTTTCTTCTGTTATTTTTATGATGAGCAACCATTGTAATTAAAGCTTTTTCGGATTTTTTATTGTAAAAAGCACTTAACTAACTGTACATGGCCAGTCCGAGAGTTACATAGTATTATGTCCGAGTCTCAATGGCTGCCAGACAGGCCTCAACTTGTGCGATAATAAAAAGAAACAAAACAACTACCTCCCGGTGATCAACTGCTTAAAAACAAAATTAAACTAAAACTGTGGGTTAATACCCTTTGCACTCGCATTAACCGTTAAAGCTGAAGACTTTTGTTTAACTGTAAAGACATCTTAAATGGGAAATATTACATCGTTTACCCACACACAATAAAAAATATAATAAACTTGCTGAAGTGTTCTTTGGACAGATATAGTGTCTGCACCTGGACCAAATGTCTGTCTGAAGAGCTTCCCTTGGCTAACTGTTAACGCCTTTCTATGCAATTTTCACGAAACAACTTGCTGCTTTAATAAATCCGTATATCTATAGACTATATCTATTACATATCTTTAAAAGTAAATCAATTACTAATATTAAAATTTTCGTATTGCTTCTAGGTTGGAGCTATAGTCGAGTCGATGCAATAGGAACGTTACAACTCAATTGCTATGCTCCTGTCAGGCATTACAATGGGCTTCCTGACGCCTCAGAGCCACAGACAACAGCAAGTTGTCGACTTCTTGGTTCGGTGCTGAGCGCAACGCATGAAGGTGCAACACGTAACTAGCGACGCCGCCAACCAGTAGCAGGTTGGCCAGCAACCAACTAACTACAGCCAGCAGCAGCAGCAGCAACATCTTCAGCTCTACCAGCAACTCCTGATAAAGAGCGCAGCTTCAGCCGGGCAGCAAAACAGGCGAAAAAACACACACACAACACATAAAAAACAACTTCGCAGCTTTAACCGAAAATGTTACAAAACTCGAATGCAGCCGCAGCAGCAGCAGCAGCGGCAGCGACGCCCAGCACAGCAGCCGCTGCGGCAGCGGCAGCAAACAATGCAGCGATAGCCGCGTCATCGATACAGCCAAAGCTGGTTGTCATACGAAGGCGTCCGAATCAGGGCTTCGGTTTTACGCTGCGTCACTTTATTGCCTATCCACCGGAAGATGATGCCGCCAGCTGGCCACAGGTAAGCGTCAAAGGCAGCCTATCGCTCCGGGGGGTGGGGGCAACTCGGTCTCGGAGAGAGAGCCAAGCGCAAGAGCATCGCCGCCGCCAGCCTGAGTGTGCCAGAGTCGGCCCGCGTCTGCCTGCATCTTCAATTAGTCATCAATTGCCTTGCCACTTTTGCTTTTCGCAGTCTGGCAATGCTCAGCGCTGCCGCCGTTACGTGAGCGCAAAGCACGCGCCGCTTATTCAAATGGCAAGCGCTGCTTTCTTTTTGCTCTTTGCCAAATCGCCTGAAGTATGCCACATGCCTCAAAGAGCTTGCAACAGCAACAGCAGCAAACTTTAGAGCGATTTTCAATTCATTTATACAATTTATATCTATCAATAATTAATTTTCATATGCCTTAAATGCCGATAAAAGAAAGTTCAATTTCTGCTTGCTTGATAAGAGTTCCTATAGCCGGAGCAAAAACAAAAATTGTGGAATTTTTTTATAATTTGTTTATGCTATTTTAAATTAGTTATGTATATATATATAAATTTTTTATCAACATTTGCTACGATCTTTTAAACATCCTTTCGGATAATGCTCTAGAGTAAATTGAATTCGAGTTGCTTAAGTTGCAATTTGCTCTCTGCCTCTCTTGTGCTCCCACTCCTTACACATATATATATGCACAGATACAGATACATATATATATATAGCATATGTATGTATTTTTTGCATTGTATGCGAATCGCGCTCGATGGGCTCCTTCTCTTCTGCTGTGTTGAGGCTTGACGGCTCTCTGAGCCGCTCTCCTATTTGCCATTAACTATACCCTGTACTAAGTGAAACTGCATCAATGAGGGTATATATGCTCTGCCTAGATGCAAAAACAAAATTAAAAAATAAATAAATTAAAAAATAAAATATTAATAAAATAAAACAAAATTAAAAAGAAATATAAATTTTAAATATACATTTATGCTTAAATATTACATTTAAAAATGTTATAAAATATTTATTTATATTTATATATTTAATTTATATTAATTTTTTGTTTTAATTTTTAATAGAATTAAACTTTTATTGAAAATAAACATAAATAAAATATCTGAATAACAACAGCAATGTATCTAGCGTATCTGCCAGTCGGTCATAGTCGCCTAGAGTACCCTTACTTGTTTTGCTTATATATATATATATATAGTTGTTGTTGTCGTTTCACGTTTTTGTGTTTTTTTTTTATTTTTGCTTTTTACGTTTTGTGTAGGAAGCGACAAACGTTGTCGGCGGCGGCGGCAACGTTGGCGGCAGCAGCGGCGGTGTCGTCGGCTTGGAGCCAACGTCACCAACGTCGCTGCCGCCATACCAAGTGAAAGCGATGGAGACCATTTTCATCAAAGAGGTGCAAGCGAACGGACCGGCTCACTACGCCAATCTACAAACGGGCGACCGGGTGCTAATGGTGAACAACACGCCGATCGCTGGCATTGCCTACAGCACAATTGTGTCGATGATCAAGCAGACGCCAGCGGTGCTAACGCTGCACGTTGTGCCCAAGGAGTGTGATGTGCTGCAAATGGTGAGTGCGCCAAAACAAAGCCAAGCAAATGCAAATAAAACCAGAGCCAAGAAAACTGTCTTAGGTTTTCGATGCACTAATGTTGCTAGCTACATCGCATCGCAAGTAGAATAGCACCCACTAATCCGTTATCCACCATCTGAATATTGTTTCTGCAGCACTACACGAGCATTGCCCACACGCCGGAATCGAATCGTTTAACGATGTCCGCACAAGCGCCGCTAGCGCCGCAGCCGCCGGTGGCAGCCCACACGACGCATTCGCCGGTGCTGCTGGCAAATGCCGGTGCCATCAAGTCGACATTTCCACAGCAACAGTTGATCTCATATCCCGCTGTTGCCGCCAATACATCCTCGACAGCATCCTCTGTCTCGCCAGCGACACCGCTGCACGGCGGCAGTCGCTCCGGCAGCATTACAAGCAATGCCAGCGGCAGTGGACTTCCTAGCAACAATAGCCATCATCACCAGCAGCAGCAACAGCAGCATCAGCAGCGTCATCCGGCGCTAACAGGCGGCAGCAGCAGCATCGACTTCGGTGACATGGCCCATGGCATGCGTCAGCATCAGCAGCAGCAGCAGCAGCAGCAGCTTTACCAGCAGCAACATCATCATCAGCAGCTGCTGTCGAGCAGCTTTATGCGGTAAGTGTAAACTATTTCAACTCACCTGGGCCATTGACGTCAGCGTGTTCCCAAAGCCAAAACCGAAACCGGGCACAAGGGGCACCCGGTACAGCATGTGTGAGGCGGCTGGGCGGGACTGGCGGTTGGTTGGGGAAACGGCGGTTAATCTTATCAGACGCCAGCCGGCAGGTTGTGGCGACGCTCTGCCCACTGGCGTTTCTCTTTCGCCAAAGCAGCAGAAATGACAGTGTTTAGTGCAATTAGACAGGCCAGCGGCCATTGGCAACCCGGCACAGTGGTTCACAAATGCCAAGTCTAGCTCAGAATACTTCTGAAATAATGCACACAAACCAACAAATACTCCCACGTACACTATATATATATATATATATATATATATATATATACCCACTGCCAATATGAAGAGGCACTAGCTCTTGACAGAGCTGTAGCATAGGCATCGATCGCAGTATATAGCCCGCAAGCCATGGCGTACCTGAACCCAAGACGTGTAACAATTCCTGAACAGTTTTGATCTGATTTTGGTATTTTCTGTTTCAAAATTGTGATAATCCGAGTTTGACAAATTTGTTTGAGGCGGGCACTAATAGAAAATGAACTTAAATTTCTGTTCCACTGAGATGAGTGAATATTGAATTAAAAATAAAAGATATTCTTATATTTGAATGCCTTGGAACTGTGACATGAGTGTGGCCAGCAGCAGCTTTGATAATGTTAGAAAAAAGTGATTCGAGTTGTTTTGCACCACTGCCGCCTGCCGTTGCTAATAGACGTACATACGTCGGATGTTTCATAAATATTAATTCGCACTTACACACTCTCTCGCACACACACACACACACACATATGCATATATATAAACTCATTCAGCAAAACAAATTGACAGTTTACTGGCCAACAGCCTTTGGCGCCGTCGCGGTTCCAATGAACTTGATCGCACTGTGTGGCATTTGATTTATGGTGACATCAACAGACTACCTACCTTTACCAATACACACAGCTGTGTGTGTGAGTGTGTGTGAATGCATATTGTACATTAATTCACTTTCATTCATTCATTCAAAAAAAAAAAAAAAGAAGAAACAAAATTCAATGCCAGACGACAAAAAGATGACGATTCGATAATGCGATACTCGAAATTTGCTATTTAATTGTTCAGTCAATTGCTCTAAATGTAACACTAACTTAGCTCAACCATAATAATTAAAAACAATTGCTAACTGTTTGCCAACTGCAACTCATCTGTCTGTCCATGGCTCAGTGTTCGCGTTTTTCGTCCAGACTTTTCGCAGTCATTAATTTACATACATTTGCACATGTGCACGTTATGTGCACAGGCATCTATGATAATGATCATGATTGCGATGATGATGTTGTTGTTTATTATGATGATGAGTCGATACTTTGACCGACACACAGACAGCCAGACAGACTGACTGACTATAAAAATTGTAGAACACCACACAACAGATAAATGTGGACGTCGTCTGTGACTACCACACGGTGATTTCATCATCATATTTAATTTTTACCCCATTTATTGCCAAGCTTTTTGCCAATGCTCGTCCAGGCTGTGAAGCGAGTATATTGGTTTTGACGGTTCAAGCGTGAGAAGTCGACATAAGGAGAGATCACAAAGCTATGCACTTGAAACATTGTTGAGCTCTACTCAGCAAAGTATGGATATGTATGGATATACGGATATAGATGTTCTCTCTGATCCATGTCGGAGTATTATGCAGTCCATTGCACCCGTTAGCCATGGCCTCGCTTGTTTCATTGCTGTGTTCATTCTGCACTCATAATTAAGCACAATAGTCATATTAGATGTACGCATTTCAAAATTAAGTATATACATTGTATAGGCATTGTATACAACAACTTTCTATATATCCACTCAATTTGACACCGTCGCTTTATCAGCATTGCTGTCAGGGATTATTGTAATTTGCGAGTATTCACACATCAAGTCGCCGTTGAAGCACACATATCGAAAGTTAGAATCATTAAACAGCCAAAGTATCAAAATATTGGAATTCAGTCCAAACTAAATTATGATAAATATATATATATATATATATATTCGAGATAATTTCAAATTATATACCTACATCGCAAGAGCTATTGCTTAAGATATTTATCTAGTAATAAATCAAACAAGCAGTTGCTATGGCTGATGGAATAATATCTGAAAAGGATAATAAAATAGTTTTCTGTTCATTTTCTAGGCTATTTAGCTTAAGAAATATGTGTACTATGGCATTTTCTAGGGTATTTTGGTTAAGAAACGGTTTTTTTATGGGATTTTCTATAAAATTCAGGTTAAGAAACATGTTTTGTCGAGAAATTTCAAGGGTACCAAGAAAAATGTTTGGTACAGATTTTCTAGTTATTTAGGTTAAAAAACATAGTTTGCATTTGTATTGTATTTTTAGCGTATTTATTAGCGCTGTAGACAAAGTAACTCATAGTATCTCACATCATATCTTGATGAATGATTTTTAAAGAATTCAAAATACAATTGAAGACGCAGATTCTGTGCAAAGTAAAATATCTGAAAATTTTTAAAATGATCTATATAAACTTATGTAGAGCTCGATGTCGAGGTGGAAGCTATGTTCAAATAGCAACAAACCTAATTAACTTAGAATCGTCTATTATATAATAAATATTTAAAAACATCTTTAATAGATATATGTGTAGTTGGTTATCTGGTCATATTCGAGTTATCAGCTATTTTTTGTCTTCGCTGAAGGCAGATCTTAATGTTGTTGCCTCGACAGAATATGGTAGCAGCAGAATCCATTGATCGAATAATGATTTGTTTTGTTTTATTTCTTCTTTTTTTTCTGATATTTTTCCATCATATTTCGACGGTGTTGACTTTTTGGCTGCGTCTTGATTTAGCAATGACGACGAATGCATTTCAACAAAAATAAACACATGCATAAAAATGGCATTGGCCATTTGGGCATTTGGCTATTTGGCCATTGGCTACTGGGCGAACTTCCTGTTTTCACTCTTTTTTGTGCGACTCACACGAATAGGGCAGGCAATCCTCTAGAGAGATATGACCCAAACGCTGCCATTTCACATGGAGTAATTGTGTTTTTTTTTGTTCACTTTTTAGAAAGTAGCAATCAAAGAGGAAGAAAAAATCATTAATGATTCAGTTTCTGAATACAATTTGAGTACGAGTTTGCTTGAATGGGAGCTCTACTATATTATTATATACAAATCTTATTCGTGAATGCAGATCAATGAAAGTTTTTTCTCCCTCTCTCACTCTCAGTGTAATCACAGCTTAAGTACTACATGAGATGGATTGATATAAGTCGAGCTGAGTCCCAAAGTAAACTTACATTAATTAAATGTAACGTATATACAGATAGTTTCGTTAGAGTTCGCATTAGACGAGATTAGCTCACAAAGCTCATCTGGAGTTTTAGCTGACGAGTGATGCCCATGTTCACTGTTTGGCACGTGTCGTAGCTTGGCTTGAATTTTTTTTTATTTTATTATTATTATTACCGGTTATCGCTTCTAATTACGTGCTACGAAAAACTTTCGAGCTGAGATAAGTGGCCGAGGGAAGCACCACCCACCTAACTACACATTTCAAATGTGAACTCATTGCTCAAGTTGACTTTAAAAATGGGCCACAGCAGATTCAGTTCTTGCCTCTCGCTCTGACTGATTTTATGAGTCTCAATCGTGAAAGATGTCAAAATTTGATCAGATCTGTTGAATGATAGCTGCAGTTGCAGAGGAAACCATTTGCAAAGCGCTTAACATAATTTGGTAAGCAAGAATTCGACTTTCGAGTAGAGCTTGCAAGGTCAAACTTTCATAATATCATGGATTTGAAATTAGGTAATATCAAGATTTTTTTTATATATTTTTTTAATGCTCCCCTTGCAGAAAAGAACCCTTATTTGTTACCTATATTTGGTCACAAATGTTGTAGTTTGTATTTGAAACCCATTTAAGTTTAGAGTTATCTGAGGCGATCCAATTGAAAGCCTTCTTGCATGAGTCTGCCAAGCTCAAGAGGTGTGCGTGTGACTAATCCGACAAACATCACGGCATTTAGCAAAGCAACTGCTAAATCATATATGCAAAATCATCATATAAAAAAAAAATAAACATGCATATGTACATTCATACACATACACATGCACAGTCACACATATATATTCGCAAACATAGGTGTATGAGTGTTCGAGCTGAGTGCAAATGTATAACTCAGGCGAATGCATACGAATATTTGTTAACGCTCCATTGTTAAATGATTATGACAAATTTAATTGAATTTTGTGCAGCACACACACACACACACACGCATACGCACACACACTGTCGGCATGAGAGAGAATAAAACATTTCAATCACAGTGAATGACAATTCAATTCATTCGCCCCACACTCGCACACCCAGCGTCCATTCCACCCAGCCACCCCAAGCCCAGCACTGCCTGCGCGCAGGTCGCGGCCACGCCCACAGCCAGCTGCATTGAAAGTTGGAGAATTGCCACCTATAGCGACAGCGAGATTCAAATTGAGATTAAGTTGTACTAGATGGCAACTGAAGATGAGCTTTGAGATTAAGACTTGCGTCTGGAGACTTCAGATAATGATTGCCATGGGAATGGAGATGAAGATGAAGATGAAGATGAAGACGAAGACGAAGATAACGCTGATGATGACGACGATGATCAAGCTGATCGTGCGCGCAACTACTCAAACATACATATGTAAATTATTGGGCTACTTGAGCCAATGGACGGTCTGTAATTGTATTATGCGTTGGCTCTCATGCTGATCATCTACAAAGATATAAATACAGAGAGAGAGAGCGAGAGAGAGAAGGAGCAAGAGAAAGGGAAAGAAAGTTTAGCTGAAGCACACTGAAAATTAAATACTCTTTTTTTTTACTTACTAATTGATCAAATTGCGCAGTTATATTGGAGATTAAAGATCGTATGACTCGCTATAATT